ACCAATAATTCTTTTTCAGTGCACCATCCATTCCTACAGTAACCACAAGTAATAGGTCCTTTTCTCATGAAACGGAAAGTGTTTTGAACCATGATCAAATGAATTCACCTGCAAGCTCTCTCAGGACCAGATCAAATGAGGGCCATTCAAGCCAAACTTCGAGCTCAATGAGATCAAGAGGCACTTCTAGCAGCCACTCAACAGTGCCCTTGTTTGTTGATCTAGCTATTGAAGATGAACAGGAAGAAAATGAGGCCACTCAACAGATCACACACAGACACCCCATGATAACAAGGGCTAGAGCTGGGATACATAAACCAAAGACCTATGCAGTCAGTCTTGATGAAGAAGGTGAACCTAACAGTTTAGTAGAAGCCTTAAGTAAACCTCAATGGGTAGCTGCAATGAAAGAGAAGTTAAATGCTCTCTCCAACAACCATACCTGGAATCTAGTGAAGCTCCCAGAAGGAAAGAACACAGTGGGTTGCAAATGGGTGTTCAAAGTCAAGAGAAAGGTGGGTGGCAGCATTCTCAAGCATAAGGCAAGACTGGTGGCACAAGGTTATTCTCAAATTCCAGGTTTTGACTTCTCAGAAACCTTCAGTCCAGTGATTAAACACAACACGATTAGAATAATGCTCACTCTAGCAGTTAATCATTCATGGAGTATAAGACAGCTAGATGTGAGCAATGCTTTCTTAAATGGAGATTTGGATGAAGTGATATATATGAACCAGCCACCTGGATTTGAAACAAAGGGCAAGGAAGAGATGGTCTGCAAGCTCAACAAAGCACTTTATGGATTAAACCAAGCCTCTAGAGCTTGGTTCAACAAAGTAAAAGGTGTGCTAAAGTCAATGGGGTTTACTGACTCAAAGGCAGACAGTTCACTATTTTTCAATATCCAAAATGGAAAGCATCTCTTTGTACTACTTTATGTGGATGATATCTTAGTGACAGGAACTTCTGATCTGGACATTGATGATTTTGTCAAAGGATTTAAAGAGGTATTTGCCATTAGAGACCTTGGACATATAGAACATTTTCTTGGTATAGAAATCAAGAAGACCAATGAAGGGTTGCACCTGAGCCAAGGGACTTACATTAAAGAGCTGCTGAAGAGAACAAAAATGGAAGATGCAAAAAGGATACCAACACCTATGATCACTGCACCAGTCCTATCCAAACATGATGGTGATCCAACTGCTGATGGAACTCTGTACAGGAGTGTTGTTGGGGCTCTACAATATGTTACCATTACTAGACCAGAAATCAGTTTTGCAGTGAATAAAGTGAGTCAATATATGTCTTGTCCCTTGGATAAACATTGGAAAGCTGTGAAGAGAATCCTGAGATACTTGTCAGGAACATCAAAGTATGGCTTGCATTTGCAAAAGGCATCAAACTTAAACTTAAATGCATTTTCAGATTCAGACTGGGGTGCTGACTTGGATGATAGGAGGTCAGTGACAGGCTATTGTGTTTTTCTTGGGAAGAGTCTGATTTCTTGGTGTTCAAAGAAGCAGGCTTCAGTGTCAAGGTCAAGTACTGAATCAGAGTACAAAAGTCTTGCTCATGCTGCATCAGAGGTAATGTGGATTAATGCCTTACTCACAGAAATAGGCATGATAGTAAAGAAGACCCCTGTGATTTGGGTTAACAACCAAAGTGCTGTTTTCTTGGCCTCAAATCCCATTATGCATGGTAGAACAAAGCATGTTGAACTGGATTATCATTTTGTTAGAGAGAAAATTGCAAATGGAAAGTTGAATGTTCATCATGTACCTTCTGTGGAGCAAGTAGCAGATTTGTTCACTAAGCCCTTATCCATTCAATTCTTCTCTCGACTTAGAAATAAGCTTGGCATTGTTTCAGAATCCTCGATTAAATTGAGGGGGAGTGTTAGCGGATCATATATTTCAGCCTTAATGAACAAAACAGGAAAAAGAACTCGTGCATGCATGGAGACAAAATCAAGGGATTATGTTGTGCATGAAGACAAGACTTAAAGTTGCTTTTTGCTTTTGAGCTGTCACACTTCACAACCATTGATCAGTTGTAACTTAGAGTTAAGATCAGCCTTTCATTTCATATATAAATACCATAGGATAGAGTGTTAGTTGTAGTTAGGTTTTATCTTTACAAACAAGCCGTCATGTACTTTGTGATATTTGCAATGAACCAAGTTATTCAGATCTCGTTTTTCCTTATGATTTCCATGAAAATCTTTCATACCGGGCTTAGATCCTTTGTCAGTTTATCAGAGTAGCTTGCTTAAATATTTTAGTCAAATTAGGTGAGATGCCATGTTATTGTAAGATTTTGTTTAAGCGGAAGGATCCAAATTCACAACGTTTACCAAAGCAGAAGTCAGACTTTGGGTGGGTTTGGCCCTTCTTCAAAACAACGTTGTGGGGGTGAGATAGGGATTACTATAGAGGGGGATGGATGCCAACTGCCTCCGTAGGGGAAGATGGAGATCAACAATGAGGAAGGCGAGGTGCTGACTTCCTCCATGTGAAAGAGGGTAGGCGGATCAGAGTCAAGCCTTTCCCCATCAGAGTCACGAAATAAGGCAGACTTAGGCCTTTCACTGGATTGTCGTTTGGCTTATAATTTTGATTGGGTGGTTATTATAAATTCTGTTAGATTATTTGATGAGCATAAGGAGTATGTTAGAGCATTCATGCAGTAAGGATTTATAGAGCCTAAGAAAGAGCCTCAGGAATTTTTTCTAGCAAGGAATTGTAAATGTTCCCTTAGCAAGGTTAGAGTTAAGGAAAGGTATTTAGAAATTTTATAAGATTAGATAAGTTGTTGCCTCCTTAGTGGGGTCTTTTAAAATGTTATATAGAGACTTGGCCGATATCACTGTTGCCAAGGTCTTTTCCTGGATGATGGAGGTCGTAACCTTGCATGGTTTAGATCGACTCCTTGATGTCTATTAATTATTGGAATGTTCATCAAGATTTGGTCATCCACTACTGGCCCCACGGTTCTTTATGGTTGGTTGATAGGAATTGATTGTTTACATCAGGATTGTCAGGTCGATCTTTGGTACTCGTAATATCACTATCTTATTTCGGCTCTCCAGGTTTCGGCCACTAGTTCTTCAGGCTGGTCAATTGGGGCCTTGTTTATAGTTCTGGTTTTCCATGAGGATGGTTGCCGATCTTTTTATTTTATATAGTATTTTTCTTTTGCTCAGGAAGTCATCTACTGTCAGTCAGCCATGATAGGTGATGTAATCATTATGTACTCAATTTTTTAAGTTTCACAATAATGATCATTTGTACAAGGGATTGTGTAGCTTCTTTTCCCAAGGATCCCCAATATGTCTATTCTCCGTGTTCTTTTGTCTGGGGTACGTCATTGTTACCAACGATCCTCGAATGGCATTGGATGAGGTTGATCGTGGAAATACTCAACTCGATCCCAATTGCTGATCCTCAAGGGGTTTCCTTGAGGTGCACCTTGGCCTTGATAGTGGGAGATTTTTAGCTGAGGTATTTCCCCATCAGGCCCCCAACCCTCGGCCTTGATAGGTGGTCAATTCTCTAGATTGCCCTAATCAAGGACAAGATCGCGAGTGCACCGAAAGGTGTGCTAAAGCTTGGATCAATAAGGTTTTGCGATATGAAAGTAGAACTACGAAGGAGTCATTTAGGAGAAAAACTCCTCAGATTTACCCTCAGATCACCTAGTTGCATGATAGTTGTTTAGGGTATGGGCGGATCAGTCCTTCCCCCTCCCTCTCCCCTCAACATTCTTCTCGAGGATAAACTAATTGACCAATAGTCTTATCGAAGATAAACTAATAAAAGGTCGAGAAAAGGATTTGAGTTTTGAATCGTACATTATAACGGGATAAAAAAAAAAGGGTTTTCTATATAGGGAGTGTTGTTTGAATGGAGTAATGGGAGAAAGAAAAACGAATTTGATATAGAGTGTCGACGTTGCCGCCTTCCATATGGACATAGTAACAAGATCAGGAGTGTTGGGTGAGGGTTCATCCAACCGGCACCATGAATCATTGGGAGACTTAGATGCACGAAGATGCCCTTCATTTAGTGCCATTTTGTTTACATGTTTTTTTGCCAACTGGACCACCGAGGCCATGACCTTATGATTGTGCAGAATTTTAGTGTTTTATGACGAGTTTTAATGTGATAATAATGAAGAAATAGAAAAAGAGACAGGGCTTATCGTATGTGCTGAATTTATGATTGCCTCATAATCATTTTAGAGGACTTGATTTTAGGTCGGACAAAATCGTGTATCGACAAGTGCGATTTAACAATTATTATTATCTATATTAAAATATTTCTAACTTACCTTAAAATAATTAACAATATCATGGATGGATAGCCGTTTTGGGACAGTGACAGTTCTGCAATTGGGGAAAAGTGTATAGTTGAAGTTCTTGTTTGTCTACTTCAGTATTTTTATTAGTGAGATTAATAGAAAAGTAATTATATTATAGAAGATTGTATTTGGCATTTTGTACAACGCCAAATTGGTTCTACCAGTTAAAAGAAATAGTGATAGCAGCTGAAGTGACCCGATTACATGTTGTTTTGACATTCCGAACACAATACGTTAACTTTATCTATTGCGATAATGGAAATTAAATGTGTTTCATTGGATTTTATCCATAATATATAGGGAAAAATTCAAAATTAGTCCCACAGATATAGGGGGTGACAATTTTGGTCCCGACGGAATGCACAAAATATGAATAGTCCCACAGCTTTTAAAAAATGATCAAAAGTAGGACTTTTTCGCCGGATTTACTATTTCCGGCCCGGAACGCCACGTGGCGCACACGTGGCTTATTCTTTACATGCTGGCGCACACATGGCGCACACGTGGCTTAGTTTTGAATTTTTTCCTAGATATGAAAAAATTCAAAACTAGTCCCACAAGTTTAGAGGAGTGACATTTTTGGTCCCGATGGAATGCAGAAAATTCAAAACTAGTCCCACAACTTGTAAAAAAATATGAACACGTCGGATGCCACGTGGCGTTCCGGGCCGGAAATAGTAAATCCGGCGAAAAAGTCCTACTTTTGATCATTTTTTAAAAGTTGTGGGACTATTCATATTTTCTGCATTCCATTGGGACTAAAATTGTCACCCCACTATAACTGTGGGACTAGTTTTGAAATTTTCCCTAATATATATGAGAATTAGTTTAGTCCAAAAAGTTTTTTTATATTTCGATCTTGTCAAGACTTGAAAAAGAGGTCACGTGTTTAGACAATTGTATTTATTTATGTTGTGCATGAACGCAGAAGAAAAATACATCAAAAAGTTTATTTGCTGTTGCTGTCGGGATAAAGCAAAAGATAAATGTTGATAAGATAGTCTCGAAGGTTAACTCTGATCTCTTAACAAAATTGTTTCTCATCGATCAATAGTCGACTTGTTGCATCACGAGTCTCACTTGACTAGCTTAAATTGCATGCAGTTCCTAGAAAATGAGTTTGTGGTGATGCTTTTCCATTATGATGGTATTGTTGATGAATGGAAGAATTTTGGGTGGAGCAGTAAGGTGATACATGTATCTGTTGATAATCAAACTAAATGGTAAGTTTGATGATGATTATTATGTGAAAACTCAATGAACACATTCGATCTCCATGATATTATTATTATTATTATTATTCGTTTTCTCAAATGAATATAACTTTGATTGAATTAGGTGGTTTGCAAAGCGATTCTTACATCCAGATATTGTGGCGGAGTACGAATATATTTTCTTGTGGGATGAAGACCTTGGTGTTGAAAACTTCCACCCACAAAGGTATATATAATATATACACACCAAATCAAAACATGGGTGAGGTTTGAATGGAGTTAACTCATGTAATTTCCAACTCATTTGTGTAGATATCTATCAATAGTGAAAGAAGAAGGGTTGGAGATTTCACAACCAGCACTTGATTCCAGAGTATCTGAGGTGCATCATCTCATAACAACACGATGGAGGATGTCAAAGGTCCACAAGTAAGTTCAAACATACAATTTCTTTCATGAGTTTAATTGTTCTTTCTATATATATAATATACATATACAGAGAGAGGGAGAGAGATGCATAAATAAACCTGTCCAATTATATATGCAATTTAGCTAAAGGTAAAGGTAGAGTGACTGCTTATGATGATGGCAATTGACTAAAATCATCAACCATATTGTAGAAGGGCTTATAAATCCGATGGTAAGGGCGTTCAATGCGATGATACCAGTTCTGGACCTCCTTGCACAGGGTAACATTATTAATTAAGTAATAACAGTTTTTCTTAGTCGTATATTTTTCATAAACCTAGTCATAAAAACCTATATTTAATTGATTGTCTGTATATAATTAATATTGAAAATATATATGTAGGTGGATAGAAGTAATGGCCCCTGTATTCTCAAGAGCTACATGGCGTTGTGTGTGGTATATGATCCAGGTAGGTATATTAATTAATTCATTACCAATGTAATTAATATTTTTTCTATAGTCCACACTCCACATATGGATGTTGTATTTTGAAGTTGATTTCTAACAATTTAGATGGTTGTGTTTGTGGAAGAATGATTTGATCCATGCTTGGGGACTGGATATACGGCTCGGCTATTGCGCACAGGCAATTAACTAACTGTTAAATTAATTCTCTAAAAAATATAATAATATAATTTGATTTGGACAACGCCATGCAGGGAGATCGAACCAAAAGAATAGGAGTAGTCGATGCTGAATACGTTGTTCATTATGGTCTCCCAACTTTAGGGGAACCTCACAAGGTTATAATAATTAATACCTTCTTGAAAATACTCCATCCAATCATCTTTTATATACATACATTTGTATAATTAACTAATTCTTTGTGTTAATTTATGCATTCTTACTGGATCTAACAGGAACCATCCGACAACCATGCATCACTGAACCAAAGAGTTGAAGTGAGTACTTGTGAAAAATAAACGTTTCAGCTACTTTCAATTTCATTCAACTTTAATTAGAAAAATAACATGTCTAATAATTTTAGGTGAGAAGGCAATCGTATAATGAGTACAAGGTGTTCAAAAGACGATGGAAGAAAGCTGGAGAGGAGGACGAGTGCTGGACGGATCAATATCCTGATGACCTCCAACAACTCAACCACACACCTGCTTGGCCTAATATGTGATTCTTTTTCTTCTATAACTGATTACTCCATCCTTCTTGTGATGATAATAAGATTATATTAATTATCACTCTTGCTCAACAATGCAATCACAAATTATTACTTCAAATTCTTTTTTGTGAAATTATAAGAATGGTCTTTCCCAATTTGTTCCATTGTAGATAAGTGTGTTCCTCTGTGCAAACTCAACTTCTCAATTACCACTCTTTATTTCATATTTGTTACTACATAATTAGGGAAATTAGGTAGGGTTTTTTTTTTTGTATAAATTATCTCAATTCATACTTAATTCATACTCAAAATCTAGCTCAATTCTACTATCCTCAATATTATCAATATAATTAAATAATACCAATAAGTACTAAGTTCACTGTGTTGGGATCTGTGAGGATCTCGTTATGTACAAATCACGAATTCAATAGCAAACGTAAACCTATGCGCAGCGGATCTAAAGGTTTGACGTAGAGAACTTACGGCTTAAAATTTATGTAGATCTGGTTGACCACGAACGGTTGACCGCAATTGATTGACCGCAACACGCGTCTTGGGTTGCACGAACAAGATCAGATCAAAACTGGATCAAACGGATGCAAACAGATCAAAACGAAATTTTGCTGCCAGACACCTTCCGGCGGCGCGTGAGGGCGCGTGCGGCGTCGGATTCCGGCGACGTCGGCGGCGATGGAAAGCTCTCGTCGAGACGGTCGTCTGGGTATACTGTACGTCTCAATCGGACTTCCGGTTAGTTCTGTAGGTCAAAATCAATTTCGTCTCGGTTTACCTACAGATCTTCTACTGTATTACTCAATACACCCTTCTTCAACTTGTACCAGTGGAGCAACAAGAAGAAGATAAAGCTCGAATGAGATCTAGAGAGAGAGGCGTGTTTCACGTGAGAATGAGTTCTATTCTCTTCTCATGAGCTTAATGATGTATATATAGAGCTACAGTAGGGACCCTAAGGAGATTAGGAAAAGGGCTCCTTAATTAATTAGACTAACTGTGGGCCAAACCCACTCCTCTAATTAATTAAATAATATTAATGGGCCACCAACATTATATTATTGCACTCCCTTTCCCTAGCCCAAATTACATTTGAGACTCCAATAATAATTACTCGATTTACCTCCCCACGTTTAAGATATAATGTCCATTAATTAATTCGATTACTGACAATCAAGAATTAATTAATTTATTATTATTTCACCGAAGCTAGCGCTCGTTCATCACATTCTTATTATGCCGGAATTTAATCCACCTGCAGGGTTTAGCATAACAATCCTTCATGAACTCACTCCGGGGACATCATCAAACTAACGCACATGGTGACCGTAAATATCCTAACAGCACATCCTATATATAATAATATTACCCAAAACAGTAGGAATATTAATCCAGCGAACTGAACCTCACCCATGTGAATCAAAGTAATATATATTATATATATCTGCCTGTTTAATATCTTACGGGTTAAGAGAACGCAGTAATTAACCGAGGCCTAGTTCATTTACGACGATCAGTATAAAATGAACTTCTCCTCTCTGGGATCCTGTTCAATACATAAATGTACTAGTGCAACTAATCAGTCAAGACAAACTGTACAGTTGACACTACAACCGTTCGGATGGGGTGTTCATGTCCATCTAGGTTGTGAACAACTATTCTTGTTCGCAAGTGACTGATAGAGTGATCTTCGGTTCGCCCGATGACGACCCACCCTATCTAAGTGCAGAACAACAGAACGTAGAACTTGTTTAATCTAACATGATTCTCATTCATAAAGGGTAAATGTGTAATAACATGCAAAGCCAAGCTTTCAGTATATAACACTAACAATCTCCCACTTATACTTAAAGCTTTCGCTTTTACAGTATAGTCCTATCAATCCGTTATTCTAAAAGACCTATGTCGATCCTATTGCCATGCATCCTCTGATGCAATCTTGGCAACATCAACGTCTCCTCTACCAACGATATCCCGAATCAGATGGTATTTGCGCTCTATGTGTTTGCTTGCCCTGTGGGCTCGAGGTTCTTTTGAGTTCGCTACTGCTCCACTGTTATCACAGTACACGGTGATACCACGTGGCAAACTCGGTATAACCTCTAAGTCCACTAAGAAGTTCCTGAGCCAAACTGCCTCTTTCGCTGCCTCTGAGGCTGCTATGTACTCGGCTTCCATGGTGGAGTCTGCCACGCATTTCTGCTTAGCACTCCTCCATGAAATGGCTCCACTTCCCAAGGTAAACACATAACCTGAGGTTGACTTACTTTCATCCCTATCTGACTGGAAATCAGAATCACTGTAACCCAGAGGTAACAAGCTGTCTGCACGGTAAACTAACATGTACTCCTTAGTCCTTCTCAGGTACTTGAGTATATGCTTCACCGCAGACCAATGTTCCCGTCCTGGATTACTTTGATATCTAGCTACCATGCCAACGGCGTAGCTAATATCCGGCCTTGTGCATAGCATTGCATACATGAGACTTCCTACTGCCGAAGCATAAGGAACTGTCTTCATCTCCTCTATCTCCTTAGACGTCTTAGGAGACATCTCCTTAGATAAAGGTATTCCATGTCTAAAAGGTAACATACCTTTCTTGGAATCCTGCATGCTAAATCTGGCCAAGACAGTATCTATGTATGAAGACTGGGATAAGCACAACATTCTCTTCTTACGATCTCTAATGAGCCTAATACCAAGAATGTGTCCTGCTTCACCTAAGTCCTTCATATCAAACTGCTTAGACAACCACACCTTTACGTCTGATAACTCCTTCTTACTGTTTCCAATAAGCAGTATGTCATCTACGTAAAGCACAAGAAACACCACCACGCTCCCACTGATTTTCTTGTAAACACAATGCTCATCCGGACATTGAGTGAACCCGTACGACTGGATCACCTCATCAAAACGGATGTTCCAAGATCTCGAAGCTTGCTTCAGTCCATAAATAGACCGATTAAGCTTACACACTAGATGCTCACGACCTTCAGCAATGAATCCCTCTGGTTGCTGCATATAGATGTCTTCTTGCAGGTTCCCATTAAGGAAAGCTGTCTTGACATCCATCTGCCAGACCTCATAGTCCATATGAGCGGCTACAGCCAAGAGAATCCGAATGGACTTAAGCATAGCTACTGGCGAAAAGGTCTCATCATAATCAATACCCTCGATCTGGGTATAACCTTTCGCAACAAGCCTAGCTTTAAAGGTTTGCACCTTCCCATCCAATCCTCTCTTTCTCTTATAGATCCACTTACATCCAATGGGTCGTACCCCATCGGGTAGTTCTACAAGATCCCAGACCTGATTGGAGTCCATTGACCCCATTTCAGCTTTCATTGCAACATTCCATGAATCTGCATCTTTATCTTGGAGTGCCTCATCGTAAGTTCTTGGGTCCGATTCTAGGCCTCCTGGAACTGAGTCTGACGACTCTCCAAGACCTATCCATCGGTCGGGTAAATGAGAAACCCTCCCACTGCGACGAGGCACTGTCTGCACTGGTACACTCTCAGTGTGTCGTGTTGCAGTATTATGTGATGTATCTACTTGCGCACTCGGTGGGGAACCATCGCTTTCACCCCTTAACTCCTCTAAGACTAGTCTACTCGCGGGCTTATGATTCATAATATAGTCTTCTTCCAAGAATCTAGCGTTCGTCGAAACGATCACCTTCTGATCCCCGGGACTATAAAATAATCCACCTTTCGTTTCCTTGGGATAGCCTACGAAAACTCGTGCTTCCGAACGTTTCTCCAACTTGCCAGGTTCCTGCACTAACACGTGTGCAGGACTACCCCATACCCGAATATGTGAAAAGCCTGGCCTACGCCCTTTCCACAATTCGTAAGGAGTAGTATCAACTGACTTCGATGGAACCAAGTTCAGAATGTACGATGCTGTTTCCAGCGCCATTCCCCAAAACGAATCTGGTAACCTCGAATAACTCATCATAGATCTAACCATCTCCATAAGTGTCCTATTTCTTCGCTCTGCAACCCCGTTCTGCTGGGGCGTGCCGGGTGCAGTCAGTTGGGATTCAATCCCAGCTTCCGATAAGTATGTCCTGAACTCTCCAAAAAGGTATTCGCCACCTCGATCAGAACGAAGTGACTTGATACATTTACCATGAAGCTTCTCCACAACTGCCCGATACTCCTTGAATTTCTCAAAGCATTCGGACTTGCGGTGCAACAGATAAACGTACCCAAATCTCGAGTAATCATCTATGAAAGACACATAGTACTCGAAACCTCCTCTAGCCTGGATCGACATAGGACCACACAAATCAGAATGAATCAATCCTAGCACTTCTTGGCTCCTATACCCCTTTGCCGTAAACGGCCTCTTGGCCATCTTACCTTCTAGGCATGATTCGCAAGTTGGATAGTGCTCTTCCAATGGACCGAGATGTCCACTGGCCACTAACTTTTGAATCCTCCTAAGGTTGATGTGTCCAAGTCTAAGGTGCCACAGATATGCTTGATTCATCTGCGAAGACTCCTTCCTCTTATTAGATGTAGTTATGACATTATTCAATTCATTATGTTGCACTGTGGGAGAGTTCGGTTTGAGAACATATAAATTGCCAACTAATGAACCACAACATATGAAACGATTTTCAAAACGAATAATAACCATGTCATCAAACGAAACTGAAAAACCATCCATAACGAGTTTAGAAACTGAAACAAGGTTCTTTCTAAAACTAGGAACATAAAGGCAATTTCTCAAAACCAAACTACTACTATCGAACGATAAAGTAACGTCTCCCACTGCAACAGCCGCCACTTTCGTAGCATTGCCCATGTAGACGGTGATCTCTCCCTCCCTAAGTCGCTTGGTTTCCTGGAACCCCTGCAAAGAATTGCAGACATGATCAGTGGCTCCAGTATCTACACACCAGGTTCTGGTAGATACAACCGCTAAACATGTTTCTACGACATTAACGAGAGAGTTACCTTTCTTGAGGAGAGGGCAATCGACCTTCCAGT